AGGCTGCCCTCTCAGTGATTTCCCCGGTCTCTAGTGAATGGATAGGCTGAACTCTCAGTGATGTCACCGGTCTCTAGTGAATGGATAGGCTGAACTCTCAGTGATGTCACCGGTCTATAGTGATTGGATAGGCTACACTCTCAGTGATGCTGCCAATATTTTATAGTAAACATTTCCTTGTGGTTATAATACCTCCCGAGTCACTGACCCGGAAACAGTCAAAGTAAAGTCCGGCGTCCCTATATGTGCGCCCATTAGAAGCCTCCATGTTTCTTTCAGGAATGGATTCCTTTAAGTGATTTTCGTGTGTCTGGACTGGATTACATTTTGGACACTTATCTCTGACTCACGCTGGTCGCAGTTGACGGTCACGTTGTCATATCCCGTGTACACGGCCTCACACGTCCCGCAGCGGTTCAGGTGACAGGTGACGTAATCGTTGTACCGACACAAAGAGTCTTCACAAACCTCATCGTAGTCACAGTTCTCCCGGGCTGGAAGAGCGTCTGGGCATTCGTCATCTGTAACAGGAAGAGATGGGGGTCACCGAGCGTCTGATTGGTGGACAACACAGCAATTCCCACCTTCCATAGAAACATTAAAGGAGAACTATCACACAATGAGACTGTCACAGGTCGGCTCAGTAGATCGGGAGGTAAGCGAACACATACCGGGTTCGCTCGCCTCTCGATCCTGTCACGGCTCTCTGCCGTGACAGGGGGAGGGGCTGGATTCCCCTCTCCCCGCGCTGACTGGCGGGACGGACGGGGGAGGGGGCGGGTATAGCTGGCTCTGCCTCTAGATAGGCAGAGCCAGCTGTCACTCACGCAGCTGGGCGGATCCCGTCATCTACGCCGGGATCCGCTGCGGCGTCTCGGTATATAGGGAGCTGTAGCTCGCGGTATACTGAGCTTAGGGTGACGGGAGGACGCTAGTTTATGTCCTCCCGTTACCCTAAGTATGGGGAAAAACACTGACCCCATAGGTATCCTTTAAAGGAGAATGTGGTTGGATAACATGCTGCTCATCCTTTCCCATAGCACCCTTATTACGGCTGCATCCTGTGCAGTGCTGATCTCCGGGCACACAAAAACATTCTTAGTCGCAACAGATGTAAATCCACTTTGTGTGCACCAACTGCCTTTGCAGCCCATTCAGCTGCCACCGGCCCTGCGGTGGGAGGTTGGCCCCATTAGGAAAATTAAACTGTGAAGCCTGAGCTTGAATCTGAGCATGCTGGTGTGATTCTAAGGAAGAAGGAGGCAACCTGTGCTCAAACTACAAATTCAATCACGCCTCTGCCTCTGGGAGTCATGCCTGTGGCTGTCAGAGTCTGGCAATGCATCGTGGGACATGTAGTTCCACAGCAGCTGGAGCGCTAAGTGTAGCCTAACCCGGTCTAAGGCAAAAGACATTAAGCCAAGGAGGGACGTAAGCATAAACCATGCCCTGGTTCTGATCCGTTTGCGTCACGTTAAAAATACCACCAAGCAAGTCGCAGTCAATACGGTTGCGGCGGCTGCAATTTCTCATACAAAGTTGCCGGTGGGACAAATCCCTGTGATCACATTCGCCGCCATCTTACCCGGCACAGGAGCCGCCGCGGGGAGAGAGCCCAGGAGCCAAAGACGTAGGAGGAAGCAGAATTCCCGTCTGATGTCCATGTGGAGCGATGGCCCGGGGAACCCCCTTCGTCTGTGTGTCCGTCTCCTGGGACTGGCTGAGCCCGAGTGTTTGTTCCAGCCGGATGGAGCCGAGTTTTACCATTAACCCCCCCCCCAGGCGAGGGCTGTGAGGGTACATATCTTAAATCGGAGGAAGGGCACCAGTGACATTGAAATGTCTGCGACCCGGAACTCATTAACACGCTGGGAGAAGTGACATTGTTACTGGTACGGGGCCCTACAATGGTCTGCAGGGAAGGCCCGCTCGCAGGCCGCCATCGCTAGAAGCTCTGCAACCGATACGAACAGGATACTCCAAGATCCCTCCATGTAAACGCATTGCGAGGGTTAGAGCAGACACTGACATTCTCACCCTGACCTCTTTTAGAAATATTGGTGTCAGCCCTGCCAGCAGTTATATCAAACATGCCGCCGAGTATCTGTGAACAAAAAAAGTGAATCGTGAAATCACAACTCACAAAAACGTGCACAAGGGTGCTTGGCCCTTCAATAAAGAAGGGGCCTCTACTTCCCGAACCCCCCGGCGCGCAAGGCTCCCGACAGGGGTTGAGATCAGTGGCGTCACAAGGGGGATGCGGGGGGGGTGCGGCCCGCACCCGGGTGACACCAAGATAACTCACAGTCATTTTGGTGTCACCCCCCTCTGAAAAGTCGGGCGCTCGGACCGAACGCCCGACAGTATCAGGAGAGAGGAGGGGTCCCCGGCGGCATACCTTATCCCGCCGGGTGACTGTCCCCTCCTCTCTCTGCCGACATCCATCACCAAGATGGCCGACGGCAGGTATCAGAATACTGCCGCGCGTGTGCGATGACATCACGTGCAGTGACGTCTCGGCAGGGTGACACTCGGTTACCGCTCCGGCTGTCACCCAGCCTCGGGATGACCCTGGTTGAGATACTATGGTCCACCAACTCAAAGGGCGGCGGACCCCGATCCTTTGGGCACCTGTCGAAACAGGACCCACAAAGTACTAGGTAGGGGGCTCTCCAGAAGAGAGACCCCCCCTGGGTGGGAGGAGACAGAGAAACCTATATAAGGGCACAGAATCTCCTCCCCACATCGGGAATGGGCCCCGAAGGAACCCGCACCCTCCGCAATCTGTGGATCAAAAATGTGCCAATCGTGCATGAGGTGCGATAAATAAATCTAAAGTGCCGGTGCACCACGCTGACAGGCCTTAGGGGCCGGAGTGCAAAAATATTGCCCCGGACTAGCCATAAGGAGTGTCCAAGAGGCGATGTGCTGAAAATGCATTAGGTTGCCGTATCCATGTGCATCAGTGAATCACTTGTGGGGTCCCCACCCCTAGTGATTTCCTGAGCACCCCTGGGACGCCACCCCCAGGGGGCATAGCACCACGGGCTCTGCAGCCCCCCGAACCCTCCGGCCAGACCAAGCAAGCATCCGTTCGGTCAGGAGGTATTAGTGCCTCTTCCAAAAAGGAGTCGCCTCGAACACCTACCTTCACTCCTGAGAGTACTAAGCAACCGCCCGTCCCGAGGACGGTCCGTGCTTTTCCCCTCCGAAAACTGATAAGAACAGACACTACACTTGATCTTAGCCAAAAGGTCAAGAAGCGATACAAAGTTTTTTTAAAGGAGAACCATGCGGTGAGCGAAAATCACTCAGCCTCATAGTTCGAGTCCGCCATCTTACCCGGCAACAGGGAGAGAGCCCAGGAGCCAAAGACGTAGGAGGGAGCAGAAATCCCATCTGATGTCCATGTGGAAAGATGGCCCAGGAAACGTTCAGGTTGTACCGGAACCCCCTTCATCCGTCTCCTGGGACTGGCTGAGCCAGAGAGTTGGTTCCAGCCGGACTGAGCCGAGTTTTACCTTTAAGGAGAACTATGGGGTCAGTGTTTTTCCCCATAGTTCTATTTCCCTATGCTCCTTGGCTTCATCTAGTGGCCCTTCTGCAAATCTAAAGCTCAGACCTTCGCAGACCTGTTCGCTCTGCAAACATTTTATATACACTTATATACACTCCCCTATGTAGCTTTGTAATTGTTATATTTCTTTATTACGTCAAATAATATCAAGAAATGTTCTCAGACCATCCGCCCTGATCGTCATTGTTGATGCGACCTCGCAGCTGCGCTGGGATCGAGCGTATTGTTTTATTATATTGGATTTTTTTACGCCCAGGATTGACAAAGTGTCCTGACCCGCAGATCGGGGGAAGCAGATTTACAAGGAAATAAAATCAATAAATAAGAGACAAAATATTTCGCACAGCGAGCTGCTGGATGACCGCGATCCCGGAATAATTTATTCCACATTATTTGTTTTTTTACAGTAATAGGACTTTTTGCTCTATACAGAGATCATGTAAAAAGAGATTTGTGCTGCAGCATTAATCTTCTAATAGTAAGTCCAGCTCCTCCAGAGGAAGGCGAACTCTCAGCTCTTTCTCCGTCATCAGATCAGCAACTTCCTGCAACTGCTCGGGGAAGTACTCCACGGCGTCCATGTATAGCACCTGTAGGGGGGTAAAAAAGAAAAGTATAAAAACCTGAAAAGTATCATAAAATGCGTCCAAACACATTCTTTAAAGCTGAACTCCGGGCACAAAAATTTTCCTGCAGCAGATCCCTCAATGGCCACAAGGGATATAAATCCGCTTTGTGTGCAGCCCATGCAGCTGCTATGGGCCCTGAGATGTGAAGAGGGGCCCCGTAAGATAAACTAAACTGTGAAGCCCGAGCTTGAATCTGAGCTTGCTGGTGTGATACCTTGTAACAGTGACATCATCGACGTGCTGTACATAGCCTGTGTAGAGACCAGAGCTGTGGGAGGGACCCAACAGGCTCCACCCACTACCTGAAACTACAGGGAGGGGCGGAGACAAGACCAGTTAGGCAGAGAGGACTTTGTGGGCGTCTTGCCAGCTACACACTGTGATCCCAGCAATGATCTGGCAGCTCAGTTCCCCTCCCCAGCAATGACTCCCCACTGACATCCAAGACTGAAAGGCTTCACTGCATTTCTTGAGAAATTTGAATGAATTTCTCCACAGTGCCGGCAGCTACAGAGGTCAGTGAAGCTGATTTACTACTTTGTTAGGAATGTGTAAAATAATTGAATGTCCACAGCCTGGCCACCATGCCTCACTAACTACTACTTGAGGAGCTTCTAATATCCTTCACAGCTATGCACATAAAAGTCCCCCAAGTTTCTTACCTTAGCCCACGGGCAGCTCTGTATCGCCTTGTAGAAGAGACCTCGACCCCTGTCGCCACGTCCCAGAGAAACCTACAAGACACACGAATGAAACCAGAGTCTCACATCAGACCCCCTGTGCAGCCTGAGCAGGAAGCTTTGCTATGATGACACGCTGGGGAGGTTTAGATGGCTGATTAAAGTAGCAGTACGGGCAACATAAGAACATCCCACATTATACCCCCAACATCAAAATCTCCATTAAAATACCATTTATGTTTCTATTTGTGTTATGTGACTGTGCTCATAGTGACCATAGGTGGATAGATGGAAGCTACTGACCCCAGGGTTATATAATATATAGCAGACAGAATCAAAACACAGCGCCAGCAGATTTTGGTTCAAGAAAGTGTTAATCAATTATGTTCAGGAGTGCAGGGCGATAACGGGGTGGCTCTCTTCAGGTTCAGGACAACCTCAGCACTGCAAGTCAAGACAGAGAGAGCGCCTCCATCGCATAAAAACTTAATAAATAAATAAAAAGGATGGTATAAAAAGGTACTCGCAAAGGACGCAATGGCCAATTGGTTCTGAGGAAGGAGGCGTGACCTCTGAAACGCGTAAACCACTTCACTATCAGGGAAGACTAACAGCCGGTGGATATGCACCTTTCGCTCTGACCCTTCTATGCCTGTTTTTATTCGTCCTTTGTGAGTACCTTTATACCATCCTTTTTATTCGTTTATTAAAAAGTTTTTATGCGATGGAGGCGCTCTCTGTGTCTTGTCTTATATAATATATGGATGGGACTTACTGACCCCAGGGTTATACACTATATGGATGGGACCTACTGACCCCCAGGGTTATACACTATATAGATGGAAGCTGGTGACCCCAGGGTTATATAATATATGGATGGAAGCTGGTGACCCCAGGATTATATAATATATGGATGGAAGCTGGTGACCCCAGGATTATATAATATATGGATGGAAGCTGGTGACCCCAGGATTATATAATATATGGATGGAAGCTGGTGACCCCAGGATTATATAATATATGGATGGAAGCTGGTGACCCCAGGATTATATAATATATGGATGGAAGCTGGTGACCCCAGGATTATATAATATATGGATGGAAGCTGGTGACCCCAGGATTATATAATATATGGATGGAAGCTGGTGACCCCAGGATTATATAATATATGGATGGAAGCTGGTGACCCCAGGATTATATAATATATGGATGGAAGCTGGTGACCCCAGGATTATATAATATATGGATGGAAGCTGGTGACCCCAGGATTATATAATATATGGATGGAAGCTGGTGACCCCAGGATTATATAATATATGGATGGAAGCTGGTGACCCCAGGATTATATAATATATGGATGGAAGCTGGTGACCCCAGGATTATATAATATATGGATGGAAGCTGGTGACCCCAGGATTATATAATATATGGATGGAAGCTGGTGACCCCAGGATTATATAATATATGGATGGAAGCTGGTGACCCCAGGATTATATAATATATGGATGGAAGCTGGTGACCCCAGGATTATATAATATATGGATGGAAGCTGGTGACCCCAGGATTATATAATATATGGATGGAAGCTGGTGACCCCAGGATTATATAATATATGGATGGAAGCTGGTGACCACAGGGTTATACAATACATGGATGGAAGCTGGTGACCCCTGGGTTATACAATACATGGATGGAAGCTGGTGACCCCAGGGTTATACAATACATGGATGGAAGCTGGTGACCCCAGGGTTAGATAATATATGGATGGAACCTACTGACCCCAGGGTTAGATAATATATGGATGGAAGCTGGTGACCCCAGGGTTATACAATACATGGATGGAACCTACTGACCCCAGGATTATATAAATATATGGATGGAAGCTGGTGACCCCGGGGTTATATAATATATGGATGGAACCTACACAGGGATTAGGTGCATACGACTCACCATGAAGTGCAGGTACATCCTCCAGAGTAGTACACAGCGGGATCCACGCTCCGTGCTCACACAGTGCTCAAACAAGGCCTTGATTCGGTTGGACAGGCCCGTCTCTGGCATAAAAGTGTGCACCTCTCCCATATCCGCCCTGCAAAACACAGCAACACCCTCCAGTCATACAGTCCTGTGTGTTCTCAGAATGCATTTCACTGATCACGGGGAGGGCTGGCACATTAGTACAGACTATTATCCATGGATGAAATAACAGAAAGTCCTCAACAGAGCACATCATAGGCAATGGGGCAGAATGAAAAATAACTGAAAGGACAGAAGGGTCCTAAGGGGCTAATTAATGAAAACTGCAAAAATAGGGACTATACAACTGACATTGTTTCCAATATCTACCAATCAAGTTTCACCTTATATGTATTAACAAAAATAAAGAATTCTGATTGGTCACTATGGGAAAATCTCCAACCATGTGCTCATCCTATTACCTCTGCTTCTCCTAAATTAAGGTAGCTAAGATCCCACCAGCTTACTTGCATCCCTAGCCTGGTCCTGATGCTGGCATCTCTCTTCCTGACACGCGTGCCCTCTAGTGGAATTCATCGAGAAGACAAGGGAAGTACACGGAGTATGTTTTCCTCCATCATCAAGCAGCAAATGTACATTTTATACCCTCGCTGGGACAGTGTCTGAGCAAAAAAAGTTTCCTGTTGCCTTGTTATTGTGCAGATTGTTCTGGTTCTTGCCTGTTTTTCTGGATCTCATTTGTCTATCAGTTATCCATATCCTTATCCATATAAAGCATCTCCTAAATTCTTCTATGTCAGGCAGGGGGGGAGGCGCAGAGTCTAAGGTTAAAGCCTACGTGGAAAATTACAGCCATCAGTCTCAGGGTGCAGCAAATTTACAGCTTTTCAATGTTTTACCTGTCCTGCCTGTGTCAGTAAGTCCCACTTCCATAATACAGCCTGCCCACCACTAATAGCAGAAAAGTTAAGGACTGCTGCACTCCCTATGAAAACAGCGGCCTCTCTGCAGCAGTCCAACACACCCCATGCCGAGTCAGACCGATCGCTCATTATTTAGCAGGGAGCATGAGCTTTGCCGATTTTCTCAATGCTTCTGCTTCAATCATTGTGTGAATCCTGCCACCTCTCCTTCTGCTTTCCCACCACCAGACATCATATCACTAGCCATCAGAGGGGCAACTCTGACAGGAGGAATCAAAGCCATGCTGCTCTACCAAGATGGCCGCCCCCACACAAAGCAGAACAAGGCATGGCGATTTAGCAATGGGCTAAAGATGAGCTGCAGGGAGATCACGGGCAATACTGGTGACTAGTCCCTTGTCCTATGCCTGCCTTTTGTGGGCACAGCACAGGTCCTCTTTGAAGCTGAAATCCAGCCAATCTGTATGTTAACTGCCCAGGACTGAGTGATTTTCTGTTACTTCCTGTCCTGACAGGAAGCGAGAGGAACTTGCCCAATAGGGACACTAACGACAATAATGATCTAGTAGAAGTAGATAGCGTGAAGCAACAGTTATGGGAAAGGAGATCACACGTTACAAAGAACCAATGACGTGACTGCCTTCATGTTCTGGCTAGCAAATGTCTGCCTCCAATACAGCAGATTATTCTAATAATTGACATCAAACTAACACGTTGAGAAAGGCCCGGGCTACCTCTGAACGGATTCCAGAAGCTTCTTCCTATCCTCCTCTGCCCGAATGGCAAACAGATATGGCTCCAGGGCATCCGACGTCCTCCTGACCCCGTCGATGAACCTCCTGGCTTTGCTGATATTGTGAGACCTGCTCTCAGTCTGGATGTAGGATTTCCACAGGGTGATGTTGTCGGGGTACAGACGTAAAGCGTCAGACAATGCGTCCCTGAGAGGCGTCCGTGGGTACACGCTAACCTTAGTATGATGCATGAGCAAGTTGATGTGCATCCCCGCGACGGCCTGCAGTGTGCCATGCGAGTCCTGCGATTCTCCAGGCACAGATGCAGGGGGTGGCAGTGAGCCAGTGACCTCTCTGAACACTGCAACAGCAGCGTCAATGCCCACGGTGAGATACTGAAAAAGTGCATAGCACCCAGTTAAGGTAACCAGCGACGCAGATGGCGGCAAATTTAAGCTGTCCTGCACAGCGCGCGCGTAGGTTTTTCGCGCTTTTAAAATATGAATAGCCTGGACGGGTCCACTGTATGGTTTGTAGGGGGAACTTTCTGCCAGGCTGGTGAGTACATGGACTGCTCGAGACCGGCCGCCCCCCTCCGAAGGGTCTATAATCGCCCCTTCTAGTTCGGCATACAATAAACAGAGGCTGCAGAGTGCTTGGTCCTTTAACCCTTTGCCACCTGCCAGACTGATTGCAGCATCAAACACCTTCCTGGCCTCCTCTGTGTTCCCCAGCAGCCACTCCAGGAGGGCATACTCCTTCCACAGCGCCAGGCTGTTGCGGTTCGATGGCTCTTTCAGCAGGCTTTTGGCAAGTCTCTTACTCCGCTTCCCCTGGGATTTTAGCTGCTTTTTCCTCTGTGCTTGAATACACTGGACGACCTGAAACAGCAAAAGGAGATCACAACATGTCACCCAACAGTCCAAGCAACTGCTGCTCACTATACAGGCACAATAACAGTCTCCAAGGAGTGCAAAATTCAGATTTAATACACATCTGTTTGGCACCGGACTCATCATCAACCCACGGACCCCATGCAGCCCACCCAGCTCTGTGCGCAGCCCGCCATTTCCTGGGGTGGCTCTGCCACGTGTTGGGTGCTTTGCAACGTGGCAGCTTGGTGCAAGGTGCTGAATGCTTTCTGTGTTACAGCACCCAGAACTAAAACAGAGCCGGCATTGTGAGACAGAATGATCTCCATCCAACAGTGCAAGTATAGTCCTGGCTGGACGGGGTAGAGAGGGCGGTGCGGGAGCATATGATCAGGCACCTAACCACTGACCACCAATCTTTGGGAGAGGGGTTAGTAGTACTGTCTAGGCTAGGGGGTTATTATTGCAGTCATTTACACCAATGCTGGGGGTTATTATTGCAGTCATTTACACCAATGCTGGGGGTTATTATTGCGTTTACCGACACCAATGCTGGGGGTTATTATTGTGTTCACCCACACCAATGCTGGGGGTTCTTATTGTGTTAACCCACACAAATGCTGGGGGCTATTATTGTGTTCACCCACACCAATGCTGGGGGTTATTATTGTGTGCGCCGACACCAATGCTGGTTGTTATTATTGTGTGCGCCGACACCAATGCTGGGGGTTATTATTGCAGACACTGGAGGTCATTATTGTGGCCATTGACACAGATGTTGGGGGTTATTAGTGCGGCAACTGAGCCCACTGCAGGGGGGGGGGGTTATCAATGCGGCTGCTGAAACCACTGCTGGGGGTTATTTTTGCCGCCACTGACACCAATGATGGGGGTTGTTATTGCAGCCACCAACAACAATGCTGACGGTTAGAATTGCAGCCAAGCACACCAATTGCTGGGGTGTTTCTTGCTGACCCCACTGACACCAATGCTGGGAGTTACCATTACTGCCAATGACGGGCTTATTTTACTCGCACTTTCCCTTTAGTGTGTGGTGTGGTATACTGCAAAAAAATGCAACAGGACTGACATTTTTGGGCATTGAGGTGCGTTACAAATGAGCTGCCTAACTCGATGCAATACACTTCAACAAACAAAAAGATGCTGCCCTCTGGCATGGTTGGGGGCCACACTTAAGAGCCACTATGATTTTCAAGTTGACCACCACTGGACTGTATCGTCAATCCTTTGATTAAGAAGTTAGCGGCACCCGACAACAATCAGATTCCATTACCTTGGAGATTTCATACTGCAGCCAGCTGACACACAGTTCCATCTTCTGCTCTCCGTGGAACAAGGACAGTGCGGACTGGAAGACGTTCTGTATGAAGCATTCACCGTCCTTACAATGTCCTATCTGCCGCCTCCATCTGCTCATCGTTTCAAGGTGACCGACTGTACCGACTCCGGCCAGGGGCAGCTCAAATGAAGTCAGCAGCCTCTCACTGGCTGACCTGTGGTCGAAGAGGGAGAGCTCATCCAGGGCGAGGTACAGACAGGCCGGAGAAGGCCTGGGGCCACAGGGGACACCCAGGAACTGCAGGAAGGAATGTATGAACTGGAACTTCAATGCCGGGCTGGTGATCCTGAACATCGATGGCCCGAGGTCATCAAAGAGGACCTGTAGCAAGAAACTGCTGTGAGCAGAATATAGACAACAAACCACAAAAATTGACATTTTCTCTTCAAATCAAAACTATTATATTTCTCCAAGTTATGTTTATTGAAGTTGAATGCCGGGCAAATCCATGTACATTCACCACTTTACCTGCCATTAGAGCCTTGGTTCTCAACTGGTGGGTCGTGACCCAAAAGTGGATCGCGACCTCATGTTCAGTGGGTCGCCACATGCCTTTCACTTTTCTAGATGAGAGGCTCCTCTGCCTCCCCCAAGCACAGCACTGTCAGGTCTCTCGCCAAGCAGCCATTAAAAATATGCTGCCCAGCACCGAGTGTCAGCTTGAGGTGGGATGGGCTTGGGCTATGGCCACGAAGGAGCTCCATCCATACATGCATTGGTTTTTAGCTCCCTCACATGTACTATAGAGGTGCCTGGACCGGAGTGACATCACATTCTGGCTTCTCTACAGGGCATGCAAGGGAGCTGTACAAGCAATGCACATATGGATGGAGCTTTGTCACAGCACAGCAGCCCGCACTGGACCCTAGGCTGAGGATCCACTCCAATTCTTGTAAGGAAGGGAGACTGGGTGGACCTTAAAAAATGTTTTGTAGTGTGTACCCTAATTTCATGCATTCCATTGCAGTGCGACTTGGGTCATGACTTGATGACCAAGGACAAATGTGGGTCCTGAGGTTACACAGGTTGAGAACCACTGCATTAGAGGTTGTTACCACCATCCCCGCTGCATTTCACTGACAATGTGCCTCTGAACTTGCTATAGAAGTGACACTCCAGGAAGGGTCAATTCCCTAGCACTGTGCCCTCCCTCTTAGAACGTCATAGCCCTCTCCTGTTCTGGGAGTGTCTAATTACGTTCTGTGGTGGCCCAGCTCCTCCACCCCTCACCCTACCTACATCACCTTTTATGTTGCTGCCAGCAGGGAAGCAAAGGGGAATATGACAGGGTGTCATTTGAGTCTGCACATCCAAGATGGCGGTGTCCAGCACCAGTCTCAGGGATTTTGGATGTCTACACAAGAGAGGCTAAAACAAATGTTAAATGTACAAATAATCTTGTAGGAAAACTGTTGCTAAAATGAATGGTCTGGCAGGAGGGTCTCCAAGTATTTTATTTCGTCACACTGGGGAGACTTCCCCTCATTTCCTCTTCCACATAGCAGTAAGTAGGAGGAAACCTCTCCAAAGTGAAAGGAAATATCACCCATTGGAAGATTTCCCCTCCATGTATAGATGACAAATTGCAAACTTTTGGATTTCCTATCACTTTCTGTGGTGGATCTCCCCTCCATGTATAGATGACAAATTGCAAACTTTTGGATTTCCTATCACTTTCTGTGGTGGATCTCCCCTCCATGTATAGATGACAAATTGCAAACTTTTGGATTTCCTATCACTTTCTGTGGTGGATCTCCCCAGCAGGGACAAAGACAACAATAAAGCTTTAAAGCTGAACTCCGGCCTTCCCTTCGGTCTTCTATCTGACCTCCGGCCTTCCCTTCGGCCTTCTATCTGTCCTCCGGCCTTCCCTTCGGTCTTCTATCTGACCTCCGGCCTTCCCTTCGGTCTTCTATCTGACCTCCGGCCTTCCCTTCGGCCTTGCACACTTGTACCGGCTCCTTTCCTGGACGGAAATAGCTTCCTCGGATTTCACTGCACACTGAGCTTTACCAATGGATTGGAATGGGTCTGGATTCTCTCACCTGTCTCTCAGGATCCTCGCAGTCTTCCTCCGTCTGCTTCTTATCCGGGTCCGGTCGCCATGGTAACCAATGTCTAGCCTCCCGCAAACACTCCATGTCCAGCCAGGTCTTATGACGGGGAAGACTCTTGTCTTTTATATCAAGCTCTTCCTCCACGTCATCATCTTCCTCCTCCCCTGAAAAGGACACAACACCAACCACTTAATAAAGAAGATGTCTGTGAAGGTTCTCATTCACCCAGGTCATGGTATATCTGTAAAAAAATAAGTCAAGGCAACTGGACTCGCTGTATTTTTCTTGAAGATGCCTTGACTTATTTTTTTAATAAAGAAGAGTTGCACTTTAAAGTTCCCACTTCCTACCACTTTACATGCCGGTAAGAAAATGGACACGTGTGCAGGAGCTTATGAGGAATTACCCACCAATGAACCGTTTCTGCTCTTTTCCTTCCCAACTCTGTCCATATCTAGAGCCTTTGTAAAGCCAACAAGCCAAAAGTATGTGGACCTCCCTCCTAATTATAGAGTTCAGGTGTCTTCATTGAAGGGAACTGACAATGCTACAACATACAAAAGATATTTTAGAGAATTCAAATCCATCCTTATGGGAACAATTTGGTGAAGACCCTTTTCTGTTCCACCATAACTGCCCCGTTTACAAAGCCAGCTCCATAAAGACACGTCGTGACCAGTTTGGTGGAGCTCAAGTGTCCTGCACAGAGCCCTGACCTCAACCGTACTGAACATCTTTGGGATGAATTGGAACACCAATGGTGAGCCGGGTCTTCTCATCCAACATCAGTACCTGACCTCACACATGCTCTTTCGGCTGAACGGGCACATTCCAAAATCCTCCCCACTCCATATGAACGGCCCTGGTTTTGGAATGGTATGTCCAACAAGCTCATATAGGTGTGACGGTCGGGTGTCCACAAACTTACAGTGTAGCAATACAGGCCAGTTAATAAGTCACAGAGGAGCACCTATGCATATAGCTGGGCAGCATGACATGTAAGAAAGTCATGAAGACCAAACTAGGAAAATCATTCTACTACCGTGTTTCCCCGAAAGTAAGATCTAGCGCTATCTTCAGGGATTTCTGTAATATAAGACCTACCCCGAAAAAAAGACCTAGTTCGGGGTAGGTCTTATATTACAGAAATCCCTGAAGATAGCGCTAGATCTTACTTCCGGGGTAGCTGCACATGTAATTGATTTTTACATGTTAAGAGCAGCCGCAGCTCCCGCCCTGCCCACACGCCAGCAGCTCCCGTCCACACGCCCGATGGAAGCGGCATATCATCCGCCGACACCGGGACCGGCAACAGCATGCCGCCTTCCGGGACCTCGTCCAGTCCTCCCCCAGCCAGGTAAGACATCCCCCGAAAATAAGACCTAGTGTCTTTTTTTCGTGCAAAAAAATAAATAAGACAGTGTCTTATTTTCGGGGAAACACGGTAGTAAGATAAATACACACACACACGGGTAGTAAGATTACCTAGGTTATTGACGACCACCCAGCCTCCTTTCTCCTGCTGCCGCATCCATGAGCTCCAGCCCTTCGCCCCCTTTTCTCCGAATCGAGGTTCACCGCTGTCCCAAAACGGCTCGAAAAATTCCACCTAGAATACAGAAAACAAAAGTTCTCATCACCTCAGTGCTCTACATCAATGTCCCTCAACCCCAGTTCCCAAGAGTCCAGAGAGGACAAGACGACGGTTCATGGCACACCAGTGATTTATCATGCTGCATTCTTCTAAATGGAGAAATTAGAAGAGCGTTTATCCCCAACTTGCATTGGTCCAGCATGGATATTAATAGCATCAACCTCCCTTCATCACATGAGCCAAGTGAAGGAGCTGAAGCGGTGGCACAGTGGCCAAGTAGCTTGTACTCTTTCCTTGCAGCTTCGGGCTCTCCAACAAGGGCACTATACAAAGATTATGTATACTGTGGATAACATACCCCAAGCAGAAGCTATCTGCATGGGATAGGCATGCTTGCCCTGTGTGCGCATAGGTTTCCAAATACATGCAAAGTGAGCCCTACTTGGGTTTAAAGTGTTCCCTTTAGATCTTATAAGACATTTCAGAGGTGTCGCTGCTCATCAGTAAGGGGGGGGGGGGGCTCCCCTGCAATGTTACGTCTCCCTCCTTTGACTTTTAATCGATGAACGAACAGTGGTGAAGTTAACCCTTTAGTCTCCGTTTATTTTTTTATGACACACCAGGAGGTTCACACCACAACAGGCTCCATAATTACATACACACATGCAAGTCTATCGCAAGGATCGATGTCAATGGATTAGTCATCTATGTTCAGGACTTTGGAATATATCTCAGCGATACATAAATATATCATAATTGCGTGAGCTTGAGTTGAAGACAGTAGAGTGTAAGCTCCTCTGGTGCAGAGACCGATGTGACTGTGGGGGGACATTAGAGTGTAAGCTCCTCTGTACAGAGACTGATGTGACTGTGGGGGTGGGGGGGGGCATTAGAGTGTAAGCTCCTCTGTACAGAGACTGATGTGACCGGCTGATTGTTCTCTGTACAACTCTCCAGAAAAGTGTCGGTGAAATGTCAGTAGAAGAAATTGAGTATTTTTGGAAGCCGATCTCCCTTTCTCTCACTCTTGACAACGTCCCACATTCACCCCTCATCTCTGTCACTGTGCATACACGCATCTGACAGTTCCTGGAACAATGTCATTCAGGACTTAGTCCCAGTAATGAGGAGCTGGCAGAGGCAACATGTGGTTGCAACTCAAAAAGAAACCAATTAAAAGATCTTTGGAAATAATCAGAATGCTGCAGTAAACTGATTTTAGGCTTTCTAGACCCGACAAACACTATATTATAAAAGGTGGAACTCCAGGCAAGCAGGAAAATACACCACTGAACCACATATAAGGAATGTCCGACCTCCCCGATTTAGCACAGTAAAGCCTTCATAGAACAGAAGGTATTCCTGTGTCTTACTCCTCATTTCAAATGACATAACCTGAATAATGATCTTGTTGGGTTCAGAGACCTCCTCAGTGGAAGCCATGGCTTCCATACACTGCACTGATGCCCCTTTGTGGTTATAACATCCTCCATGACAGGGTCACTTTAAGGATGAATCCAAAATGTACATCAGGTATAACTGAATGCATAGCTGTACAGCGAGCGCTCACCTGCCCCTTGGTGGTCATGTCCTTCACGCTGTCCGGCTTATAGAAGGTGAAGTCAATGAGCGCCTGGAACAAGGACACCGCCTTCTCACAGTGGCCAGCCTGCCGCAGGAAGTGACACTGCTGGAGGAAGATCTCTGTCAGGAAGAGGACGGGAAGGAAGTTCAGTAACAGAGCCCGTTACAGGCAAATGAGCGTATTACAAGATTTAATCAGATATGGAGGTGCACAGCCACATACACCGCACAGCTGACCTCCGTCCCTCCCCTTCAGTCTCCCATCTGACCTCCGTCCCTCCCCTTCAGTCTCCCATCTGACCTCCGTCCCTCCATTTTTTAAACTTTATTTTATAGTTTATCCGATTAACCGATTAATCGAACTTAATAATCGGCTAACTAATCGATTTTGAAAATAATCGTTAGCTGCAGCTCTAGAGGTGACCAAGCTATAATGGTTAACTATGAAGGAGAAAAATCAGGTCACCAACTGGACTGTGCTGCCTGACAAGGTGTAAAGCTTTCAAGACTGGATGGAGATACAAATACAATAAGAGATAACCAGCATCCCATACACACTATATTGCCAAAAGTATTGGACCCCTCCCCCTCCAAAATCATTATATTAGAGCGGAGACTGCGAGCCCCTCCCCCAACATCAGTACCGGACCTCACAAATGGTCCCACATTCCCATAGACACACTCCTAAACCTTGTGGACGCGCCTTCCCAAAAGAGGCGGAGCAGTTATAGCGGCAAAGGGCGGAGCCAACCCAATACTGAACCCTGCGGACCAAGACTGGGACGCCATTAAAGTTCATGTGCGTGTAAAGGCGTCCCAATACTTTTGGCAATATAGTGCATATATTCTGTCTGTGTATTCAGTTGTGTGCCCGGGGTTCGGTTTGGAGTGTAAATTTATAGAATATTGATACATAGATCTGAAGTATAGAATTTGGAGTCTATAGTTAGTGAGTTTTCCATTAGCGGCACATGCCTGTTGGCTGTGTAACTAATAAAAGTTTACTTACCGCACATGGCGCGTTCGGTGCCCGGCACAGCCGGGTGAGACACCATGCTGCCATCGTGCACCGCGGCCAGAGTGGTGAGACATTTTCCATAGGCGGCCATGACTTTGGAGACGGAGAAGGTGCTGAACTGACTCTGGGAGAAGAGCAGGTATCTCTGCCACAGCTGCGGGTCGTTGGGATGCAAGAAGACCAGCTTCTGCCACTCCTTCAGCAGGGCCGGGGCCTCCCAGAACTCCGCGCACAGCCGCAACCGCGCCAGCTTCAGCTCCGTGCTGCCCGGGTTGCTCTCGATGGCTCGGTCCAGAATGGAAAGCTTCTTCTCCAGGAGCAGCTTGACAGACATGCGATAGCAGTCCACCTCTCCCTCGCTGGTGGAGTACATGCTGGGCTGCGCCAACAACTCGTCCTTTAAAGAGTAAAGAAAGAAGCTTCTCATCACGACTACACATATATCAAACAGTATAATAATGTATAGGCAGGGCCAAGACGGGGGGGCAGGAGGGGGGACGGGGGGCAGCACCCCTTCTTAAAAGGATCAAGCACCTTAAAACTGAAACTGCTGCCAATACTGGTGCTTCTGCTGGCATGGAGCCGTCTTCCTGCGCATACAGAAAGACGGGCGGCGGGGTAATGACATGCTGCCCGGCTTCCTGATTGCCCCGGGAAGGCGGCACCATGTTGTTTCGCCAGCTCGATTGTGATTGGCTAGGGAAGCCGGTTTCCCTAGCCAACCAGCATCGAGCCGGCTTCCTGGCCAATCAGGAAGCCGGGCGGTGAGTAATGACCTGCCTCCTGACGTCCAGCTGTTAGGCCGGCTCGATGCTGATTGGCCAGGAAACCGGCTTCCCAGCCAATCAGCAAAGAGCCGGCTGTTTGGCCAATCACGAGGCTCCATGTTCACCTACGGCACTGTCGGTCAGAGGAAATCTCCCGGTATCGGGGAAGGTATCGGAGCATTTGGGCAAGTACTAGTATTGGTGCATTCATAATTAGAACCCTGATCAGGTTTATACTGCTATCCAGGGCTGCATTGGAGAGGTTGTCCCTTACTTCCTGTCACAGTGACAACATGGTATCACCACACAGGAAGTGAGGACAAAATCTGCAACACAGACAGCAATAAAAAGGTTACAAGGTTTCTGTCCTTCCTATAGATCTTTATTTCTGTGTTGCGGTGGGAGAATTTCCTTCACTTCCTGTCTGGTGATAATGTTGTCAGCAGGACAGGAAGTGAGTAGAAATCTAAAGGGAGCTCCAAATTGTTAACCATTGCAGAGGTTCTAATCTTCACTGTTCGGTTCACACAGAAGCAGAAGCAGCAAAATGTGCACATTCTACTGCAGGGGGGAAATACCTGAAATGAGACAAACTCCATCCACGTCCGCACATCTCCGGGGTTTTCACGTGTCCTCCGATTATAATCCTCCACCCTCCCCAGCAGCTCGGTGTCTCTAGGAGCAGCCGGCGGGGTCTTGTCCTCCAGGCCTCCTTTTCCTTGTAGCCACATTGCAGTGGAATCGTCATAGACACCCAGAGGATTCACCCAGCTGGTGCGGGCAGCAGAGGCGGAGGGGGCATCCGGGTTGCAGTCTATCACAGGAATGAAGCCGACAGATGCCACGTCCTTGTTGTCCTTACTGCAGGCCACATGCTCTGCCCGGATCCTGAGCGCCTGTACTGCACTCCTGCTATAATATCGCTCAGGTTTCTTATGAGATGGCTTCTTCCCAGGGGCGTCCTCCCATACAATGAGCTGTCTTGTGGGGTCAATCCCCAAGCAGGAACGGCCTTTCCTCCTGTACCTGGGGAGAGAACGCATAAAGAGAGGTTAGAGCTGACCTCCGTCCTCCCCTTCAGTCTTCAATCTGACCTCCGTCCTCCCCTTCAGTCTTCCATCTGACCTCCGTCCTCCCCTTCAGTCTTCCATCTGACCTCCGTCCTCCCCTTCAGTCTTCAATCTGACCTCCGTCCTTCCCTACAGTCTTCTATCTGACCTCCGTCCTTCCCTTCAGTCTTCTATCTGACCTCCGTCCTCCCCTTCAGTCTTCTATCTGACCTCCGTCCTCCCCTTCAGTCTTCTATCTGACCTCCGACCTCCCCTTCAGTCTTCTATCTGACCTCCGCCCTCCCCTTCCGTCTTCTATCTGCCCTCTGGCCGTATCGGGCCGCTCCCGGGAAGGACAGGTGCTGCGTGTGATTACCAAGAGGCCGCCCTACGCTCATCCGCCCTGCACGTCCGTGCGTGTGCCCGTACGCTGACAGGATGGATCCTGTCTGCGTCCGAGCCAGGACACCCGCACGGACCTGCACTTAGGGTGAGTGTAGGGTGGCCTCTTGGTAATCACACGCAGCACCTGTCCTTCCCGGGAGCGGCCCGATACGGCCGTGCACGCAGCACGCAGCTGTACGTGTCGGCCGTTTCTTGTGTGAATGAGGCTTAAAGCTCAACTCAACAAGCTGAAGATAGAAGCTGATTAGTTACTATAGGCGACTGCTCCAGTTTTGATAAATCCCCCCAGTGTTCAATGGGATGTGGTGCCTAGATGATACCAGTCCAACACGCTATTTCATTCTCCATTTCATCACATCTGAACCACATGGAAAACGCCGGATTTGATCACGTCCTGTGCTGCAAAATGCATGCTGAGCCTCTGTGTGTCCCCGAAGCTCCCTCTACTTCAGGGGTGGGCAACTTCGGCCCTTAACTACAAATCCCAGCATGCATCTGCCTCTGAGAGTCATGCCTTGCAATACATCATGGGACTTGTAGTTCCACAACAGCTGGAGGGCCAGCGTTGCCCACCTTTACCCTACATCATCTTCATCAGCAGACGGTAGTCGTTATGGTTAACTAGAACCCCCGTAACCTGCACCGCTGTCCTGGTGCGCCTTTTACTGAATGGCAAGCTACCAAGTAGAGAGGAAGCAGGACAGCCATAATGAAGCCTCTCATCCGAGGAGGTCTGTGTGCTCGTTAGAGACTGTGAAGATTAAAAGCTCGGCATGCTGGCACCAGCACCCCTTATTAAAATGAATGGCGTTTATCACTTTCTGGAAGCGATCTGGAGAGGAGGCTCCGCTGCGAGAGAACACAATTAATGAGCAGAATGATCGCTGTCTGCAGCAGGGATTAACCCAAAAGTAAAACTTCCATTCCCGGCTGTTTTGGGACTCTGACCAACTTTTAAAACAAGCTCGCAGAAGGATATAAATGTATACAATTCAAGACAAAATGGTAAGGAGGGCCCGGCCCCTGAGGGCTTACAATCTAAGAGGTTTTACTGATATTGAGGCCCTTTTACCGGGAAACTGAAAAAAAATTACTCTTGCAGTGAAGCTTCTCCTGCACGGCAAGGGTTAAAGTGTATATAAACCCAAAAACAAAAAATTAAATACAGAGGTTGGCAACCTCAGCACTCCAGCTGTGATGAAATTACAAATTCCATCATGCCCCCGTCTCTGGGAGTCATGCCTGTGGCTGTCAGAGTCTTGCAATGCCTTATGGGACTTCTGCGACAGCTGGAGTGCCGAGGTTGCCTAAACTTAATTTAATATATTGCAGTTTATAAAGAGAACTGTGGCCAAACCTTTTTTTTTGCCAGAGTTCTCTTTAGTATATGTCCTCCTGTTACCCTAATGTCCTCCTGTGACCCGAAACTCACCCGCTATATGCTGACAGCACAGAGCCAACCTACAGCCGGAACGGATCCCGACATTGTCAGGATCCACCCTGCTACCTGATTGACAGCTGGCTCTGCCTCTCTAGACCCAGCGCCAGCAGTGCCCGCCCCCTCCCCTGTCCGTCCTCCAGTCAGAGCTGGAGGAACGGCGAGGGGAGGGGGGAATCCGTGACTGACAGTCTCTACTCTCCGCAGGGAGAGGATTGGGAACCGAGCCAATCGGCAATTTGTGATCGCTCAGTTCTTGATCAATAGAGCCGACATGTGACATGTTGGCTCTAATTATGGGGATGAGTGCATTTCACTCCTCCCATAATTCTCCTTCAACAGTCCTTAGATGTGGTGGCTGCATTAGTTTTGTTATTTTAGGCTCCCCCCCCCGCCCCCCAGGCTTCCCCCCTTTATTTCTACCTAGTGATCCAGCCAGTTACTCACTTCCCGTCTTAGGATGACTCCACTCTATAGAGGAGCAATGGAGCCCCACTAGGACAGCAGCATTGTCACCCTGCGGGGAAGGTGGTGTCAAAAGAACTAGCACAGGGGTAGGCAACTGTTGTCACTCCAGCTGTTTTGAAACTACAAGTCCCATGAGGCATTGCAAGATCAACATCCTGTTTATGGACAAGAATAATACTTCCATGAGAAAAATAACCCTGAGAAAAGCTTCGGCTCCCATTTATAAAGCGACAAATTTCAGCAAACCTTTGTACCAGAATAAAAAAAGATTTGTCGTGAAGCTGCCAAGTCACAGAAGGACAAGTAATAAATATGCGGGGTGAGCAGTTATTTCATTTTTGTATCGTGCATTACCTCTGATCATTGCAAATGAGAAATAAAATGAAAAAATTAATGAAGGGTA